CGGGGTGGGAGGCGGGTGGCGCAGTGTGATTAGAGAGGGTTGGCCCGCGGTGTGATTTAAATTCTACCTCTTTAATAGAATGAGACTCGTTTTAAAATCTACTAATGCTTTTGGTTGTCTCTTCTTGATTTTTTCCTCCCCTCAGGTTATCGGTGGAGGATGTAAAATATTCAGAGCTGTGGAGGATCTGAGTAATGTTATCTGAACGTTGTTACTTATGAATTGCTGCTTTAGCGCTTCAGGCCGTAGTTTTGCATTAAGCTAATGTAAGTGCTAAGGTGCTATTGTTTTCTTAAATAGGCTTTTCCCCATAGGTTCCTGGCTTCCTAGTGCTTTCTAGCATTCATGTTTGTATTTTGTATACAGACCAGTTGTATAGAGTTGTCTTTAAGCTGTCCTTAAAAGAGAAATGCAATTGGAGAATTTCTATTTAGAAACATCAACAACACTGTGGTGTTACTAGTGCTCTGAATGTTTATGCAGCTTCATGATAAGCTAGAGAAGGGAACCAAATCACTGAAACAATAGTGTGTAGACAACTGTGTTAGCCTAAAGAGGGGCGGCTGCAGTTAGCAAAAGGAAGGGGATGCTTTAGCAAAACTGAGGTTCACTGTTCAAGTGGGAGGTAATTTACACGGCAGTTACTTCTTTATTCAGCCTGTATTTTATAGAGCTACATCTCACATTAAACTCGTACAGAATCAGGTCAATAATTAGGCCACTGTGAGAGTTTATTAAGTTGCAGAGTCTAAATCAATTATGTCCAACCATCAAATACAGCTTTACTATAGTAATTTTAAAAGCAGGCTTATCACAAAAAGAATCTAGAGGTTTATGCTAAAATCTTCCAGTCCCTCCTATATTAGCGTTATGCAAACTGGTGATTTACCTTTACGGCTTTGGAAAGTAAAAATAAGTTAAATGAGTATTGGACAGTAGAGGTTGACTTTAGCTTGCACCTAAGTAAAGGTAAAGTTTTGCTTTGTTCTTGGGATGTTGTTTTATTTTTGTTTCGCCCTCTCACTGAGCTCGCTTTGCGTTAGCTCATAGGATTTAGTTATCACAAAGTAAAAAAAAAAAAATGAGAAGCATTGAATGCCTCACATTGTTCTGTGCTGCAGAAGTAGTGACTAATAAAACATAAATTCACTTGACCTCCTCACCGCTGCTGAAGATTTCCACCTATTTCTCAACCATTCTTCCAACCATCATCTTTATTCTGGGTTTATTAGCGGTGTCTGATGACTTCAGCAGGGAGGTAGCCAGTTTAGCTTTAGATGCGATTCCTCTGAGATGCAGTATTATTACTGTGCTTTGAATCATCGAGGCTATTCTGGTATTTCCATTTCTTTTCCATGAGAGGAATTGCCCTCTATGCTGCAGTAAATGTATAATGTGTCTGATACTGTGAGGTATACCATATGGTGGAAGGTGTGTTCCAGAAATTCTTCAAAACCTGTTGGATTTCAAAGTAGCCCCCCAGAAAGCACGTGAAATTCTAGTTAGAAAATGAGATGAGAATTCCTAGCTATGCTCAATCTTTATTTGCTACCTTCACAGCTGTTCTTTTTCATGCAGCTCTTTGCCCTTTATTCTGAGTGAGGACCATAAACTGAAATGGCGGCTGCAGATAAAGTTCCTGACCTGCCAAGTGCCATGTGATGGGCACAGAGCAGAGGAAGGGCTTGGACTATGGAGAGGAAGAGAGAGGCATCCTTCTCCCTGTGAAGCACTGGAAAGTTGTTTTGCTGATTACAGGATTTACAAAGACAATATGTTCCTTGATGCCCATCCTCACCTGAGAGCACTTTGAAGACTTCCACTAGCAAGCAAAATAACCCCCTGCTGCAGAGTTGCATAATTACATATAAGGATTGTAGGTATAAAGCTGGTGGGTAACCTTTTACAGTTTTCATGGTGATTTTTTTTCTCTTTGGCATGCCTCTTTTTTAAAAGAATTATTTCAAGATAAATGTGATTTCTAATAACACAATTCTGAGTTGCCATTCTAAAGTATAGAAAAAATCTTCTGTAGTGTACAAGTGTCATCTATTGTGCCAAGTTGTTGTCTGCTGTGATGGCAAGAATAAATGGTGCATCAGAATGTTTTCCAAGCATTATGCTTAACTGGGCTGCTACTTCATCAGCTGTGAAGATTTTTCACAGGCACTGAGTTACAGCCATATATATGCAAAAAAGGTTATCTTCTATACATTTCATTTTTTAATAATTTGCTGTGAATAAGACTTCTTTACCCACAAGCCCTGAAGTTAGTGCAGATTGCATGCTCCGACTAGGAAAGGGCATATTTTAACTATGTATAGAATCCAAGGACACATTGACAAATTTAGCATGTTGCAAAGCAGCCATAAATTACACTGATCCCATGGTATTTCAGAATAACTGAAGTAACCTCATGTGCGCAAGGGGACAGTTTTAATATACTAGTGCAACAGAAATTGTCCCATCTAATGTAGGAACTTGACTCCATAACTTTAATACAACCTTAATGTAGAAGTTGAAACGCCTTTCTTTAAATTCACACATTCACACACTCCCTCACACACACACACACACACGCACACAGATTTTATTTTACGTTGCTATATTGGCTGCAGCTGTGTTCCAGCTGCGCGGATGTTTACATTGCAGGGGGCCCCTGAGCCTTGGGCTGTTGGGACGGGGTGAAGCGCGTGGTGGCGTGACTTGGGCACTACAGGGGGATGTGACGCACACGCTCCCTGGGTGAGCTGCGTTGTTCATTCACTTGCACTCAGTAGAGTTGAAGACTGTAGCCTGCACATCAATAGATTAACTTAAAGGTTGTAGACCCCTTTGCCATGGGCATCTACTCCAGATGTGGCCCTTAAATGTTTTTCTTGAAAAACCTTGGTTTAATTCTTTTTGTATCACTTGATCTGGTATAAAGTATCTATATTGTATTGCTTCCATGGGCTTAAGGATAACATCAGTTTCATCTAAAAGAAATCTAAATTTCGTAAAGTTACCCACGAGTGGGAGGAAGTAAGTTTTACTGTGTGTTTTGAGTGTCAGAACCATGTGTATGATAAATATAGAGACAGTTCAGGAAGATTTTTCGCATTTGTGCTACCACTCAACAAATACAACCATAAAATATATAAATAAAATAGCTAAGGCCCATGCATTGTTGTTCAGTCTATTAACTCATCATAGGACTGCACATAAACTGATATTAGAAGGTGTCTGGGTAATAGTAGGTGTGTTTTTGGCCCAAACTTTTTCAGATGGAAGTAGCTGCAGCCCTTCTAAAATGCATTATACTGCTACTGGTCTACCGTTTTTGAAATGTCTATAATATTTTTCATTGTTCTGTTTTCAGCTACGTAACATTATTTCAAACACTAATCCTTTTTACACAAGGGGTTTTCAGCTTGTTGAGTTGTATTAATTATGTACTGTTGTGTTCTGCAAAACACTGTTTGGATTCTTTTTTTTTCAGGAAACAGACAGTTTAGATATTACACACAAATCGTGTGTGGTTTTCCAAGTAGAAATTAGTAGTAATTAGAATTGTGTTTTAAAGTTATGTAGAATGAGTTGGATTAATATGTCAAAGGCTTTTCTTTCTTAAAGAGTTGGTTTTATGGTTTTGCTGATTCAGGAAAACTGGCAACACATTTACATTTAGAGACAAAGGTCTTCAAATGACTTAATACAGAAGTCATTGATTCTTGGAATATGCTGAGAAAGCAGGGATATGTGATAGAGTTGCTTAAGCATGGTAAAGATATACTGAAATCCAAAAATAGCTTTTAATGTAGGCAGATGAGCTTGAAGCTGATGGATCGATGAGATTTTTCCTTGTTTTGTGTTGAAGGATGGAGACCCAAAAGTGCATCAAGGGAAGTATGTATAGGAAAACTACATAATTTAGAAGTGCTTCTGTAAGCCAAATAATGATCTAGACTAGAAGTGGCAGTTACTCTGACAGAGAACTTGTCTTAAAATCATGAGAATTTGTGTAAAAGTGGGTGTTATCCAATTTTTTTGTTCAATTAGCTGCTTTTATGCAAAAGATATGTATTTTTCTAATGACTTCAAGATTTAAATTTCAAAGTATTTCTCTCTAATTAGCACAATAGCACAGTAAAAATGTCTCATCTGGTAACTGTAACATGCAGTGAGCTGCATGTAAACTTATATCAGTGTTATCTCCAATGCCAGATTAGAACTGTATAACAGTTTGTATAATATATATGCATTTTTTTGAGTCTGTAACAACATTTGTCACCACTGATTATTTTCTGGTGGTGGGATTTGTCTGACTAATGACACTTCCTGGGATTCAATGGGATTCAAATACTGCTACTGTTTCGTAGCAGTAACATTATTACTTGGCTCTACACCCATTTGCAATTCTAAATTTAAAAGATTTCTTTTTCTCTCTCCCTTTTTATTTATTTTAATGTTTTAATGAGTAGTCAGTATTAGTAATGAATGTGTTGTTGACAGTGCCATGGGATGTTGGTAAATAGTTTATGTACTTGCATCCAGTTTTTCTATAAGTAAGCAGTTGCTTTCTAAATGGATGTGTGATAAGGATGGCTGTTTGCTATTTATGCCATTTTTAAGGTATTTTATATTTTAAAATTGCATGTGCTGGAATCAAGTTCCTTTATTGAGGTTTGTGGCAAGACATACTTAAAACCAGGAGCTTTTACGTGCCTAAGTTTATGAAGTTTAGAACAAGTCTGGAAGAATTTAGTGCAGCACAACAATTTCAGTCTAAATTTCTTCATGTTTCAGCAGATGCCATAGAATGGAATTGGTAGAATATCTTCATTTAGTACATTTGGCTGCTTTCATTTATAAATGAAAAGAGCTCCACGCTCCCAGTTCCCTGAGCTGACTAGCACAGTTTGAAGCGTTACCCCAACTTCCAGTTAGAGAGCACTTAAATCAATTGAATACATGCAAGTCCACAGGACCAGGCAGGATATATCAAAAGGACACTGAGGGAGCTGGCTGATGCTATTCAAGGCTGCACTTTGTCATTTCTGTAATCATAGTGATCTGGGGACATTCCTGATGACTACAAAAATGTCACACCCAGCTTCGCAAGCAGCATCTGGGTAAGTATGGACTGGGGAGCCTTACCTCAGTTCCTGGCAAGGTTGTAGAGCAAATCCTCCTCAAAGCAGGGACAGTCTCCAGCTGCACATATTGGTCTCTCATATCATAAAATTGTCTGTTATTTTTTTTTTATCATATTGGACACTTCTACTCATAGGGCTGCTGTGCATAGACATAATACCTATCTAGGCCCGGTGTGTTTTTCGATGGCATTTAGCATGCAAGTGCTACGGAGCCTGGTCCCAGCGGCGAGCAGGGCTGAGCGCCTCGGAGCACCCGCCTTAAAGTTGTCTGCAGGACCTGAGCACGCCAGGAAAGAAAGCAAAAGTCTGCAGATAAAGTGGCAGGAGCTGCACAGGAATAGGCTCTGATTTCTGCCAGTTCGAAAGCTGGCACTTTTTATTTTAACAGAAGGTTCAAAATTGCAGCTAATTGCAGCTGCCTGCTACAGTAATGATTTAGCTCTAGGAGCTCTTCATGTGGTTTTCCTTTAGTATAAGGCTACCCCTTACAGCACAATATCTTTGATGTAGACAAATCATCAAATCATTACATTTATGCTAAGTAATCACAAGTGGCCCGTTAGAGAGCAAAGCACCTAATTTGCTTTGTGCGCTGCTCAAATGTTTTGCATCAAGTCTTAACCTTCAGATACGTTTGCTTTTTTTTCCCATGCCGATTAAAGAGAACTAGACTTTGTTTTGAAGATGAGAGCCTATTGGTGATATAAACAGCTTGTGCTGGCACCTAAAGAACAGGGTGGATTTTCCAGCTCCTGTTAGAAACGGATCCTATGTGCTTACCCCAACAGTTTCCTTCAACAAATGGCCACTATTCATCTCCTCTGTTTCAAGGAAGGGTTTCTTCTATAGTACTGCAGGTGATCATGAAACTTAAGTCTTTATGAAAAGCACCAAAATATTTGCACATAGAGACAATTTACTGTGACATGCCAGTTTTATTTCTAGCCTTTCCACACTTAATTTAGGGATTTTAAATACAAAGTTCTGGCTAAAGTTTTTCGCAGTTGTTTGCTTAGAACATTGATATCCTAGTCTTTTATACTGTTGACAATCTGTCATCATTTCTGTGATATCATACCACCATCCACTCTGGTTGTCAAATTTAAGTATTCAGATTCACAGTACAGATCCCGGGATGTTCCCTTCTGAAAATGAGAGCAAAAAGTGGAGAAAACAAGATGCTCAAATATATGTAGTGCTAAAGCTACAGAGTTTGTAGCACTCTCAAGGCTACAGAGGGAGGGCTGTTATACTAGTTACCTTTCAAGTTGCATCTTCCTTCCTTTTGCTCCTCTCAGTTCTAGCCTGTTTAAGTGTAGCATTTATGGGCTGTATAAATGTCAAACATCACTTTTCTCTTCTGCTTTCCTTGAAGCTTTGAAAAAGCCTCCTTTGTGCTCACACTTTTCTTCCTACCCTCCCCTTTCACCTCCCACTCAACTTCCTTTGCCCACAGTGTTGTTGCAGATGTTGGGTTTTTTTTATTTTATTTTATTTTTTTTTATTTTTCCACATCTCTAGCTTACTGGAGTATTAGGTGATCCAGAGGGGAGAACCTTTCTCCTCAAGTTCTGTTGCCCAGAGCACAGCCTGGGTACCTCCTAGTGCCTGACAAGCATTTCCCATGGTAGCAATGCTAAGTTGGGCAGCAGAT